CATCTGATAGATGGAAGATACATTACAGAAATAGATATGATTTTGATTCCTTTCATGACGAAAAGTACCTTGAAACTGAGCTCAGAGTAGCGGAAATTGTTGAGAAATGGCATTACCAGTTAAGTTTAAAGAGTTTGTACTTAACTTAGAAAGACAACTTATCGCCTGCACAGCCGCCCTGCAGACGAGGTCTTGAGAAGCTGTCGAAGTCATCTCTCAACGGGCTATAAAGAGTTATAATTTGTAAGATTATAAATTACCCCTAGGGGGTGTTATGTCAGCATATTTCATTCACTGATTGCTGACAGATTACATACTTGTTTGGACTCAAAAGTCTGCACCTTACTGCCGACTATAGGTTGATTACAAACTCCTTGCGACTCAAGAACTGCGCAGTCCCCCGTACTACAAGAAATTCATAACCTACCTTGCTCTTGTAGAGTGAGCTATGGTGTTCTTCACACCTTCGACAGATATCGGTGACTTGATAGAAGCTGAAGTGTCCTTAGATGTCCACGTCTTCCATAGTCTAGGAAAACGCACACTGGTACACTATGTTCCACAAGATTTGTCTTTATTGTTCACAATCTTATCACTAAAGAAGCTGATCACACTTCTCTTAAGTGTTTATTGTGTTTTATGAGACACTTTGTTCACACTAACGCACAGATCATTCTTTGTTGGTTATCCTGGTGTCAGTGTCACTCTCAGTAGAGTCAAAAGTAATCTGAAGACGCCACAGCGCCCCATGCCGTCACTGCCCCCAGCACAAAAAAAAAGGCTGACCTAGTACCTTTTGCTTCCTTGCCACTTCCTCGATGAAGCAAAGCAGAATGTTTAAATCTTGCTGTCTTAAGCATAGACAACAATGTCCACTATCTTTACTATGGTAATAAAGTGGAAGCAGGATTTACCTTAACTGTCCTGCTAAAGTAAGAGATGTACTGTCTCTTATTAAACTACGCTTTGCAACACTGGACTGCAATGAGCCGCGGTCACTTCACCACGTCGCATACTCGTACGGCATCTGTGATCAATTACTCACTGTAGCAGTAAACAAGACGCTTCCCCTTCTGAGAGGGCTGGGCCCCTCAAGGCTGAAAGGGGCTGAAGGGGGCTGATACCCCCCTCCTGGAGAAAATTTCTCCACAGAAATGTTCGATTCTTTGGCAGTGTTAGAGTAAACCAATGACATCACAGTCCAGTGCGTGTCTGACTGCCCAGTCCAAATTCCAATACGCAGTCGCGAATGGGTTGACATTGTTTATACAATTATTACAATAATGCAGTAGTCTGCATAACAGTAAATCTTCTATTTTTTGTGCGAATAAAAATTCGAAATAGTAAGCAAGAGTAATATAAGAGGGGCCTGGAGCTGTGACTAATGAACAGAGAAAGTTATTTTAGTGCCAGGAATGTCTGCATTGTTTATTCTGGATCCTATTTTGAAATTGGCATCTTTGATATTTGTATGAAATTGGCCAAATTGCCAATTTCTGACCACTTCATTGGGTACTTGAAATAGGTGAATGGGCGGTTTCTTGTACAGTGGACCCCCAACTTAGGATATTAATCCATTCCAGAGAGCACATCGGTTGACAAAATTATCATAAGTCGAATTAATTTTCCCCATAAGAAATAATGGAAATCAAATTAATCCGTTCAAGACACTCAAAAGTATGAAAAAAAAAATTTACCATATGAAATGTACATTTTCCTACACACAAAAAGGATACATGCACAATATATATTGTGCATGTACCAGTGTATTAAATGAAGAATAAATGACACCTTTATTGAAGTTGTGGTGATGAGTGATGACACTGTTTGTGTCCTGGGAGTGCCTTTTCCTCCTGAGTAATGTAGGTCCTGTTTGGCATTTTCTTCCAGAACAGGCCTTATCACACTGTGTATGCCACTGTGATTCTTAAATCTCTCAAACCAATCTTTGCTAGCCTTAAATTCACCAATATGAGCACTAGTTCCAGGCATTTTTTCCTGTTCACCTGGGTGTTAGTCGACTGGTGTGGATCACATCCTGAGGGACAAGATTAAGGACCCCAATGGAAATAAGTTAGAGTTCTCAATGACACACTGACTTTCTTGGGTTATCCTGGGTGGCTAACCCTCTGGGGTTAATTGTTTTTCAGTATTCTCGATAAACCACACCAACAACAGTCTCTCCACATCTTCGAGTAGAACAGCTGACCGTGGTACAGCAGCAGCTGACCGTGGTACAGCAACAGCTGACCGTGGTACAGCAGCAGCTGACCGTGGTACAGCAGCAGCTGACCGTGGTACAGCAGCAGCTGACCGTGGTACAGCAGCAGCTGACCGTGGTGCAGTAGCAGCAGCAGGTGATGGTGGTAGAGCAGCAGCTGACCGTGGTATGATAGTATTTCGATAGTATTTCTCACCCTTTTTACCACAGGGTTTACCTGGAGAGACCTGGAGAGAGTTCCGGGGGTCAACGCCCCCGCGGCCCGGTCTGTGACCAGGCCTCCTTAAGTCAGTGTCCCAGGATGCGACCCACACCAGTCGACTAACACCCAGGTACCCATTTTACTGATGGGGAACATAGACAATAGGTGGAAAGAAACACGTCCAATGTTTCTACTCTGGCTGGGAATCGAACCCAGGCCCTCACCGTGTGAAGCGAGAGCGTTAACCACCAGGCCACCAGAGCCTGCACTAGAAGCATTCTTTGGGCCCATGGTGGCTTCTTTAGCAGTTACAAGCACTAAAAACACTGGAATAATACAAAATTAATAATGTATGCCAGAAATCATCCGCCCTGACTTGTAAACAATGTCACACTAGCTCAGCTGAGGCGCTCAGGCCAGATGAACCAGACAGCCGCGTTCAGAACGAATGATGTAAGTAGAGTTTTTCAACGTAGGTCGAGGTCAAATTTTTACGCTGAGTAGCATCGTAAGTCAGTTTTATCGTAGGTTGAGGCCATCATAAGTCGGGGGTCCACTGTACTCAGTTGACAGAATAGAAGCAAGTTTATTCAGGTATACACAAATACAGTTTAATAGATTATCATGCATAGCAGCGTATGTATAGAGAACCGAGGATAACCCAAAAAAGTCGGTGACTTATTCCAGTACCTGGCTTGGGCTTGCCATATATGATTTTTGGTAAATATTTTTTTCAGTTTGTTGGGCTATCTTATTGAAACTCGGGCACTGTTTGATAAGATGCTTATTTACGTACACCAAAAATGAAAAAAATGAACGATAAATTAGAGTTCACTTCTCAGCCATTAGCCACCCCTTAGCGGTATATTTTCGTATGGTTTTTATGGTTTCATTCTCGTTTTTTTTAGTCTCGTTTGATAGAATGGAAGATATATTACAGAAATAGATTGATTTCACGACAGAACGTACTACATTGAAATTGAGCTCAAACTAGTGGAAATGTTCGATTTTTGCCGATGTTCAATGAACTTTTTGTGCAAGTCAAATTGGTTAACTTTATTGAGTCTCAATGATGCCGGATTTGTGATGGCAGACCTGTAGTAAAAACCTAGTTAGTAGTAGTAATTACAGTAAACTTGTGTTCATTGGTGTCGACTTTAAATATTTCTAGATTTTTTAATAAATTGCTTTGTTCATTAATTTTTGATATGTGCTTTGTAAACAATATTTTCATTGTGCACTTAATGTACCACACGTGTGGTTGTAATAATTTTATGACCTTGATTTATATTTGCATCTACATACTTTTATTTATATCTAACATAGGGTGGCCCGGTGGCCTGGTGGCTAAAGCTCCCGCTTTACACACGGAGGGCCCGGGTTCGATTCCCGGCGGGTGGAAACATTTCGACACGTTTCCTTACACCTGTTGTCCTGTTCACCTAGCAGCAAATAGGTACCTGGGTGTTAGTCGACTGGTGTGGGTCGCATCCTGGGGGACAAGATTAAGGACCCCAATGGAAATAAGTTAGACAGTCCTCGATGACGCACTGACTTTCTTGGGTTATCCTGGGTGGCTAACCCTCCGGGGTTAAAAATCCGAACGAAATCTTATCTTATCTTATCTTATCTTAAAGATATTTTTAATATTGAATATTGCAGTGCATGCCTGATAGCAAATGTTTCATACAAATCGATTGCTTAACATATAACATGTTGATGCTATTCAGGTTCAATCTATTGCTTTGTAATGTTTGAATTACCATAACATCTCAACAAAGCCCCTGGAGAGTGAAACGTTTGCCGCAGTAAAATGTCTCATTAGTTGCACTTGTGCTGTCATTGTACCTAACAGCTATTAGTTTATTTGTATTGCAGTTGTAAGTTCAGTGTCTACACTGAAGGATAGGCAGGGATGTTGAAGTTCAGAGGGTTATTTAAATTGCAACATCTGTGCATGTTTGGAATAAAAAAAAAATAGAAAATGACAGGTTGAAAAAGAAAAAAAAATAGAATACTGGAAACTGCATTATTTAAAGCAATTTGGTAATATTTTCTTTATTACTAAGCATTAAGATCCGCTTTGTTTTCTAAGCATATAACATTTAGTTGTCACAAGCCATGTTGTCATCAGATGCATCAGCATGTGAAAAAGTACATACAAAAAAAAAAAAAGCCAGCAAGTATTGTATACATAGGAGAATAAAATCTAGAGGCTATTTGCATCTGGAAAGATTAACTACTCAGATTCTGATAGACTGATTGCTTTCATTCTGTTTTCAGCTAAATGGAGTGTAACACAAACATGATAATAAGGAATGTAGCTTAGTAGCATCATTGTTTTAATTTTTTTTTTTTTTTTTTTTTTTTTTTTCACACTGGCCGATTCCCACCAAGGCAGGGTGGCCCGAAAAAGAAAAACTTTCACCATCATTCACTCCATCACTGTCTTGCCAGAAGGGTGCTTTACACTACAGTTTTTAAACTGCAACATTAACACCCCTCCTTCAGAGTGCAGGCACTGTACTTGTTTTAATTACCGTCATATTTTGACTGTAATGATGATTAATTTGATAGGTCCGTGAACTGATGGCTTCATTGGGTGTTCGTAAGTTCCAAGAGTTGGTGGGTCGCACTGACCTACTTCGTGTTCGTGATTCCTGTTCTCCAAAAGTGAAACTTCTGGATTTGTCTCAGATACTTAAGAATGCACTACACATGAGACCTGGAGTGAATATTATTGGAGGATCTGTCAGACAGGTATGTTTATTTGTATTTATGTTGATTAATATAGCATGTTGTGTGTTTGTGTTAAAAGTAATGAATTTCAGTTGCAGTATCTACTTAAGAATTAAAGTATTAAATTTTTAATTTACTTTTTAAAGCTCCCCCCCCCCTTCCAAAAAAAAAAAAAATAAATAAATAAATATATTAATGAAGTTGTAGTAGTAACCCTCACTTCCACCTTTTATTTTCTCTCGATAGTGCACTTGCTAATAGCTCAGTGTCAGTAACTTGTATATCCTGCATATGAATCCATATTTACCAACCACTAACTTACATGCAAAATTATGGAAAATAATTTATTCTTAAAGGTTCAATAACACTAAATAAATTGCTCTGCCCTTATCTATCCCAAAAATCACTTGCAAAATATTATGGGTATAGAATGGAAGGTATTGAAGTGAGTAAAACAACACAAAACAATCTTGATTTCCATTACAATTACAGATTGTAAATAATTTGAACTACTCTTGCTTGCTCATTGAAACCTAAAATGCTTCATTCCCATTTCACAAACCTGGAATAACTATTGAGAGAAAAGGGGGCACAATATAATAAGTGGATTAATATTTGCAGGAAAAGTAAAATGTGGTGGAAATGTAAACAGTGCAAAGTATATTAACAGTTAAGAAACCTTCACATTACTCTCAAAATAATCATTGAACAGACCCAGAGACCAGGTGTGTTCCCAAACTTAGTTAAGGCTGGTGTCACAGGAAACACTTAAGTTGTCTGAAAAATGTCTGTTTAATCTTTTGTTGCCTAGTGTAAGCCTTGTATTAAGACTACGCCATACCCAGTTTTTATAGTTCATGAGGGACAGGTCCTGAACGTTTTAGTCATAAGCCACTAGTAACAAATCTTGTTGCTAAGAGGGCATATAGTCTTTGATTGGTTAAAAACTAAATTAGCAATCGAAACAGATTTTCTTTTACTACATGAAAGGACATTTACCATGACCAATGAACACTTGTCTCAAGCTGGCATTCCTGTAACTACACCATACTTTAATACAGTCTTCCTGCTGTCAACCAGGACATCATAAAACAAATGTGGTCATCATTTGTTTTATGATGTCCTATTTAGAACAGCTGGTCACTCCAATTTACTGCTACATTTAAATGGTGCAAATATAAGTAAATGACTTGAAAGTATCTAGCCTACACCACAAGTTTGTAAATGTATTAATTTCATGATGTTCCCTTTCTCTTTGGTTACTGACCTTGCTGCTACTTTCTTATTACAGGAATTTGGACTGGAATCTCATCTTGATCATCAGATTTGAAGGAAGCAGAACCTGTACTAAATGGTTCTCTTGACACGGTAACAATTAACACAACAATCCACAACGAAGTTTGCCCTTTGCTCGACATCTTAAACACATTTCCCTT